TGTGTCACTGACCAATCAAGTTTCAAAACTGGGCCTTTATTTTCCCTTTGTATCTGTTCGAAAGGGAGCTGCGAAAGAGGATCCCATGTGAGACCATGCATAGATGGCAGGTATGTGAACTTCCCAGTTCCCAGCAAGGCCACCAAGGGCCACGACTGTTTCAGGTCTAATGATCCCAGATCTAAGAAGATGTTCCTTTCCTTGAGTCTAAGTGAGATGGAGCAGTCCTCCAGCCCTTTAAAGACAGTATGTTCCATTAAGGTATGTTCCATTAATGTATTACTGCTTATCTTCCAAGGCGCCTTTCTGAAATGGAAACCATCTTACTGGGATCTGTTTCCAAGGAGTGGTATTCCTGTGGCCATGAGCACGTGGAACTCTGATTGTGATTCACATCTCTTTGGATGCAGCATTACTTAATCTTGGTTAACTGAGAACTCCAATTAATTGGAATCATTCATTGCAATTAACTTTAGAAAGGAAGGGACAACTTTATGCTTTCTTATTTAAGAAATTTTGCTTTCACCACAAATACATGAACGTAAATTTGATTCAGGGTTGAGGAAATGGGAAAGGAGTGTGTGTGTGTGTGTGTGTGTGTGTGTGTGTGTGATAATGGGATGTGGTGTAAAGGAACATGTAAAAATCAGGGTGAGTGCGACATCTCAGTTGTTTTTATTTCTACTCGTGAATCTGGACATTAAATTGAAACTGTGGGTTTAGTTGGGGGTTAGTTAGCGTTTTTCTGTGTATTAACTCACTGGGTCCAGAATGTTGGGGTGTGCAGGAGAGACACACCTGGCTCAGCGGATCTCTTTCCTGCACTTTTCTGGACATTTGGGCAGGGCACATAGCACCTGTGTCCGGCCCAGTCTCTGGTTCTGTAGATCTCGGTCCCAAGGCATTGGACCTCGCTTCCCACCTCAGGGTGTGCTGATAGCTGTGCCCCCTCCACACTGGGAGAAACAGAAGTGGGGACCACCTGGCAGGAGCAGCCTGGGGTATTGGTTCTCCTCTATCCCACACTTCCCCGTTACCTACTACCTGCTCTTTGGAAACTCTTAGAAAAAGGGCAGGCTCAGGTGCATCAAAACACACTGTGGGTGTTGGTTTTATTTGTAGTGCAGCTTCAACAAGCATTTTAGGAATGCCCCCCTTGCTGGTCCTCCTTCACTATCTATGCACCCTTGGTTCCAGGATCCCCTTGGAGACCCCAGTCCAGGGACGCTCAAGCCTCTTATGTGGGCATAGTATTTCCATGTAAAGAGTGCACTCCCTCCTGGAGTGGCCTTTAAATCCTGTCTAAATCAGCACCTAACAGGGTTGAAATGCTAGGTAAATAGTCACGATGTGGGAAAAATCATAGCAAAAAAATCGCCCAGGGCAGGACAGTGTCTTTTTCCCAGCCTGTCCCTGGTTGCATCCACACTGACAGCACCTGTTGATAGTCTGCAGAAGACATCACTGAGTGTGTTGCATTGGTCTCCAGTGTTCCTCCAGGGCAGGGAGTCACTGCATCTGGAACATGTGTCATCCACCTGGAGGCACACCTGCCACTCGTGTTGATCATGTGTGGTTGCTTCCTGGCCTCTGGCTGCAGTGTTCTGTGCCTACCTTCCCCTCCACCTCCCTCCTGGCTCCTCCCACCACCACGGTTCACCTGGTCCCCCCAGGCACCCACCTGCGCCCCGCACATGCCAGCCAAGAAGCAGTTCTGCCTTCACGCAGGTTTCTGTCCTCACCTGAGGTCCATCGTGGTTTCCCCCGCTACACCCTATCAAAAACAAAATCTGGGTTTCCTGGTGGAGCAAACAGAAGCAATTTATGAAGGCTTTAAGCTCAGCAGGGAAGAAGGCATATATATATACATGGGCTAGATCTGCCCAGCACTTTTGCGCCCTTGTATTTTATTTCAGCTCCGCGCCCCCTTTGGAAAGATGGTGCCTTTAATTTCCAGTATGCCGCCACCAGCTCTGTTGTGTCACTGGGTCTGAGGAATTTAATTACTGTTTAGATCCTTCCTTATTCTAAGGAGGATTTTCGGTGATTTCCATCTAAATGGTGAGGAAAAGCAGCTGTCTGTGTAGTCCCCCTACAGATTTTTAATCCTCCGGCTCTGTTTTAAATTAAAAGCTCCCTGACATTCTAAGCTTTAAATAAACACTATTTAAATCATCTTAAAGGATGCAGCTATTTTTGTGTCTTTGGAGCTGGGGTTCCTTCGGCGCCCTTCTCCCTCCCTTTACGTTGCTCTGCCTTCCCACCTGGCCCCCCTCATCCTTCCTTTGCTTTTCTCACTCACTTCTGCCTCACCTGCTGGAGGAAGGAAAATGCACTGCCTGGCTGCCAATCTGCCTGTCTCCTTGCCCCGAGAGCCCTTCTCCATTTCTCTGCCTCTCCGCGAGGAGGGAACTAAAAGCGGTGCCCATTAGTGGGTGATCGTCCCTGTATGCCTGCTCTTTCAGCCCTCCTGCTACTGCAGAAGAGAAGAGATGAGTCCTCTAGTGAAGCCGAGTGCAGGGTGGGCCCAGCAAACCTCCCATTACTCGGGTTGCGATCCATACAGCGGCTTCTGCTCCGCACCACCCCAGGAGGCCTCCTCTTCAAGCCTGGGCTCCCTGTCTCTTGTACTCAATAAAAGGTCATTGATTTCTCCAACCTGTCAATCACAATCACGCTGTCAAAATTTCCAAGATCCAGAAGGGTAGAGAGGCTGAGATGTCCTTCATTTACAGCCCTGCAGTAAAATACAGCCTCTGTGGCAGAGACACAAGAAGATAGTCAAAATGCTGAAGACGAAATTGACGTGACAAGGCAGCCGCTGGCACTTGCACCACACCATGAAATGCACAGGAAAGAAGAAAAGCTTTCTGTCTTTCTGTTGCTGTGACTGCAGAACACACACGTCCATTTGACAGGCTAGGTGTCTAGGGGCTGAGGTGACCAGGGATGGGGGGCCAAGAGGCAGCCTCAGCCCCACTTCCCAATGGAAAGCTGGAGAGATCCCGCAGCAGGTGCAGCGTGCCTCAAGACCAGCATGGGGCGCTCTGCCCTCCAGGGGCTCAGCCAGCACAGTTTGTTGTATATGGGTGTCCCCATGCCTGAGGTATGAGGTGGCAGGAACAAAGCAGGAACCCCAAGCCCACCCCTCAAATGCACAGATGATAGAGGTGTAGGGCTGTACAGAAGAGCTCCACTTGCCAAAACTGCCTACACCTGGGTTCCTGCAGGGATTTGCAAACCCAAAAATCACAACAGCAGCAAAAAATAGTGGATGGGAAACAGGGCAATGATCAGAGCCTGCTGTGTCCTCACCCTTCTGTGTGAAAGATGCAAAGGGTCAAGCACACAGGCCAGCAAGCAGCACCAGAATCCCAGGGACTAGAGAGGACTGGACACTTGGTACCTGCATCTGGTCCACACGGCCCCCAGCACTGGCCTCTGCGGAGAGCAGGTGTCTTAGGGTTCACACCTGCTGAAACCATGTCTCTGTCCATAAGGGTCTGCACTCTTGACAACTTCCACAATGGACTTAGGCACTTCTAGGTAAACACCATTGTTTATGTGCATATTATGCATATGAATATACTGTACATTCATGCGTGTGCTTAAGTACATGTGTCTATAGCATGTAAATACATAGGTTCAAATATATGCTTGTATGCATACACAGGCATGGTCTGCATTTATATACCTCCACCTACTGAAGTTAACTTGGAGGCAATACCATTAACGTCATAATGCTGATAGAATATTGATAAATAACTCCAGTCTGCTTCTATGCCTCATGTGCATATACAGCATGCATATACAGTGCCCACGGTTTCTCTGTGTGAGTCCGTACTGCATCTCTGAGTGTAGAAAGAAGATAGGCTATAGACACCCCTTGTTGCATTTTTCCATGTCATCTTGGAAAGTCCAGTTGGAAGCCATCAAAGTCACTCAGTTCTTTGGAGAACCATGGGGTCCAGCTGGGTAGCTCCACAACCCATCCCACAAGGGGGTCCTTGACCCAAGTCAAGGCCTCAATGCCAAAGCTAGAACAGAATCAGAGCAGGAGTTGGGTGTCCATCACACAAGTACAGTGACTCTGTCATTAGTTGTGTGTGACCCACCCCACCTCTGCTTTTGGGGTATGCAGAATGCCCACGACAGGGCCTCCAGGAAACCAACATCAGGAAAGACCCTGGATAGGAGGCTTCCACACACAAGCTTTGTGCCTTCACTGGGCCCTTGAGATCATGGTCAGCTCCACGCTGCTTACCTGGTCTTGAAGCTGCTGTGTTCACTGGTCACTTGTCTTGCCTTCTCGCTGGCCACTTGGGTAGCTTTTTGGTGGGCTGACCTTGTAGAGCCATGCTGAAGGTGGAAGATAAAACACTAGCATCTCATGGGCATACACTGCTTGCCCAATGCCTTTCCAGGAATCTTTCTTAGAGTGACCCAAATGGGCAGCTGTACACATACACGTCCAGTGCTGTTCAGGGGTCACTAATGCTGACTGAAGTATTAACCATAACTGGTAATACTGGTGCCAGTGCTCCATAGTAAACTGTGATGGCTAGGGTGGAACACCATGAAATAGTGTCTCCACAACTTGTTTCCAACACTGATGCGTGGTTGGTTGATTGCCACTAGTCAGCCAGACTGGAAGGACTGACCCTGGGCACTGCCTGGACTTTAATTCTCTGCACAGTTGTCGTATTAGCGCTGTGCGTATGCACCTTGTGGGGATGTGGAGAGTGGAGCCCAGACATGTTAGCCATATTGTGGAAACCATACATATCCTCCTCATGTGACCCAAGCTGGGAACCCATCGTCAGCCCAGCCTGGCGCCTTTCTGTGATGGTGATAGTACATGTGCGGTCTTCGTACCTGGAAGCCATAGCTCTGTGCGTGTCCCAGCACCTCGCAGTTGGGTGTCATCACGTGGGTGCCACCCCAGACCCTGGGTGCATCTTCTTGAGCTTGCCTGCAAATTCAAGATGATGCCAAATGCCATGGGTTGCAGTCAGTGATCTCAAGTGCACGTGGCCATTATGTTCATGTGAACAGAAGAACAGTCATCCACATCTCATTTTTCTCCTGATGGCTACTTTTCTAGGTCATTGGTGCAGAGACTTGAATTCCAGCCTCCTGGAGGCGGTGGCCTAGGCACCTTTCAGCAAACAGGACCTTTAAACATGTTCCACATTCCTGACCAGAGACTACCCCATATATTTTATGCTGCCTTAACACAGACTTTATGTATGATCCGTATTCTAAAAATCTCTTCATCTTTTGTGCTTGGTTTTTGTCTCTGCAGATACTGAGCGGCTGTATTCAGTGGTGTGTCAAGAAATCTGCGGTCGCTATGGGAAGCAGTATGGCTGGGACGTGAAGTCACTGGTGATGGGGAAGACAGTGTTAGAAGCTTCCCAGGTCATCATGGACGACCTGCAGCTCCCCATGTGCAAGGAGGAGCTGGTGGAGGAGTGCCATGGGAAGTTACAGGCACTGTTCCCCACCGCTGAGCTCATGCCAGATATTTTCTGTGCCCTCTGTCCCTTCCCTGCCCTTCCTCCTGCCTCCTCCCTCCTTCCTCCTTCCTCTTCTTCTTCCCTCTGTCACATCCCGTGCCTCAGCATTTGGAGTGTTGTACATCTCTTAAAATCCAGAATGCGTGGTTTATCTTGTTGCATCTTGCTAAGTCTCAGGACTGCACCTGTGAGATCTCCATTGGCCCTGGGGGATGAAGATTCAATCCACCAGCTTAAAGGAACAGACTTCAGTTGCACAGATGTCTGGGGTGAAAAAATCACCTGAACTTTATTTAATGTAGATTTTTGTTTTTGTGGTACAAGGGGTCAAATCCAGCCCTGGCTGGCACTCCACTACTGAGCCACACCACAGCCCTATATTTACTTTTGATGAAGATTGGACTCAGGTCACAATTGCTTCATATGGCACTCTAGTAAGTGGCTTCACCTCTTCCTCTGCAAAATCAGACACAGAATTAAAATTCCAGCAGTTATTCAAACTTTAATAAATTGATAAGGAGCTAAAGCTCCCCATATGAGTTTAATTATAAAAAAACATTGCAGCCCTAGTTTATTTTCAGTATGCCTGTGTATCACATAGATAACCAGCTTAGTGTTTTTGTGTCTGTCTATTTATTTGGGGGTGCTGAAGAGTGAACCCAGGTCTCACACAGGGTGGGCAGTAGCTTACCACTGAGCTACCCTCACTGCCCCAGTCCTGCATGGAATATGCCTGTCTCAGTATCTGTTGTCTCCTCCGAGAAGCTGCTCCGTTCCTGCAGTCTGATTCACCCTGGTTCCATTAGAAAGTATACTTCCTGCTAAAAGTGAGAAAGACAGACATCCTGCACTTCAGGTCAGACAGTACTCAAAATGGGCTCTCAAATACACCCCTAGGATGACAATGAGAATACTGTCTTCTGTCTTTAGAATTCCTGATACCCAGGGAGGAAAAACCAGTGCTTCACAATGGTAATTTTAGTTTTAAATTATATTAATATTGTGCACACACAATTTTGAAATGCATGTTATTATTTATAGTTATACGTAGATAGCGATTATCTCCAAACCTGCCAGGTGAATGCTCCTGGGAATTAGAGTTTTCCTGCAAGAGCTTCACACGGTCTGTCCTTGGATGTCACACACACACACACACACACACACACAGAAAGAGATAGAGAGAGAGAGAGAGAGAGAGAGAGAGAGAGAGAGCTTGTGATTATTCTCTCTGTATCTGCTACAACCCAAGGTCTCCATCGCAGGCTCAGTGAGTACCAGCTCCATGGTACACCGCCCTCTGCACCTTTATCTATATGCCTTTATCTATCCACAGGGTCTGCACAGGAAGTTGTCATGGCGACTCTTGATTGAAACACAGCCAGACCCTTCATACAGTTTTAATTGTGGTTTCAGTAAAATAAGAACAAAATGTTTCCCATCAAGCGTAACATCGTCATCCTGATTTAAACGTGCAGGAGTTTGTGAGTGTTGACTCAGTTCGCGTGGTTACACAGCAGTTCTCCTGAACTCTTGGAGTTAAAAAAACACCTTTTGGAAGAAACCTCCGAGGCCCACCACCTCAGCAGCTCCTGCACCATTTGGTGTGTAGCAGAGCTTAGCAGTGCTCGTTTCTCCCTTTTCTCATCAGTGCCTGTTAGGCCTCAGCACTCACTGTGTGTCTCAGGCTCATGGTTCTCCTATCCCTGCTTACAAAGTGCTAGGGTTACCAGTGTGTCCCACCATGCCTGGCTCTTTATGGTTTTGAAATGTCATTTAGGAACACCATCGCACATTCACTAGGTCACTTTTTTCAGTCCCGTGATTGATCTTTTGACTTGCAGAAACTTTCTTTTTTTTTTTTTATTTAAAGAAAAGGAAACAAAAGAATACATGGAGATAAAAAAGGGTAGAAATAATACAAACTTGCAGAAAAACAAACGGTAAGAAATTGCTGGTTGATAAGTTACACATTGTCATCTTAGAAATAGCTGTTCATGTTATAGAATTAAAGTATTTAGAATGACATTCATAAAGTGACACTACAAACCCTTCTGCTCTATGATCGAACAAGAGCTCAGTAATATGGTTATCAGTCCTACACATTTGTTTTACATCTCAAAGAGGGTAAGATTAAACATATCAAAACAGAACAAAGCAGTTAAAAAAACAATTTAAAGAAATACAGATTTCGCAGCAAGCCCACTGGAGATCTTCATTGTCTATCTAATTGTCTCTAGTTACTTACAAATATTGTCCCCATCTTCACCCACCTTATATACTTATTGTATATTATAGAACTAACCAAATCCTTGGAGGCTTTTTAGGTCCTCAAGTTCCAAATTAGGGAAGACAATAGTAACTACCATCGCATCTCTCATTCTCTTTGTGGTAGCTGTCCCCATCTCTACATATGCTGAAATTGAACTCAAGAAACCAGTCCAATGTCATTCTAATCAGAGAACAATAGTATTGCTAGAATTTCTATCATAATGCTACAAAATTAGCCTTGGGTTTCTTAGCGTCTCTTCCTCAGAGTATCTGTTCATTACATCTTGCATTATATAATCTGTTCCCGTAAATAATTAAAAAGAAGAAAAAAAAAACCCATGTGTGAATTTCTACATATATTTCTATCCTCTCTGTATTATAGGGAATACCAAGTCATAGCAAGACAGCAAAACAATTTCCTAGCAAAACATGCAATGGATAAGACATATAAGACCACAATATGGATGATCTTCTGTAGTTACTATGTTTTCTCTGTTATTTTCTATAGATTTGACCACCATACTGGCTTATTATAGTTAAATATAGTATCACCTATTTTTATAAAAACTTAACTTTGACAGCATTGTAGGATTTGAGAGCTGTTACTAATTAATACCAGTATGGATATCCTTTACATCTTGTCATCCTCAGAGTAGTTGCCTCTACTTTTAGGGTTGATACTAACAAGCATACCAATTTCAAATAAAATCAGCCATGGCCAACCCATAGTCTTATGATTCAGATTCAATTAAGATCAGTCACAGTAAGACAATATAAGTATTGTAGGATTTCAGTTTAAGTTAATAGGAAAGTAAGGATAGTTACGATGGTATAATCTGCTATTTTTGGGTCAAGATGTCTGTGCCCTCAAATCTGGCATGAGTGGGCAGACCAGTATATATTAAATTCAAACTAAATATGTCAATAAGACTACTATGTCTTTTAAATCCTTATACACCATTAACAATGACCTCTGCCTTTTTCTTTCTTTTTTTTTTATAGAGTTTGCAGAAACTTTCTGTTGTAAACACTGAAGTGGTCTTGGGCTCCTTGTCAGTTTTCACTTGTCCGTAGATGGAGTCCCTATGAATTTCAAGACAGAATTGACTGTATCTGATCAAAATTCTACTGAGACATTGATACATACTGCTTGAGTTTATAGTTTGCCTTACATGCTGTTACGGATTAAAACTGGGGGTCAACTTAGCGTCAGCTGAACTGAATCAGAGTGGTGCTGAGTATGGCTGGCCCACCTGAGGAAAGATTCGGGCATAAAAGGCGATGTGGAGAAGAAGAGCAAGGCGTAGATTTTCCTAAGTGGTGCTGTTGTTTGGAGCCATTGGTTCTCTCCAAGGAGCTTGTCACCCTGGCTTCCCTGACATGAACTTGGCCATTATTATTGGAGGAGCTCGGGATGGCTCGGGATGGATTTCAGGGGAATCCTAGTCTGTATTCTGAGTGTGCTTCTTGGCTCCAGTGTAGAACCCTCAACCTAATGGCACAGATTCTTCCCCTGACTGGCATAGACTTTCTAGGTTCCACCTCTGACCTTTGGGCCTTCCCAGTTCAGATCCATAAAACTGCCTTGCATGAGTCATCGTCTTGGGCTCTAGGCCTCCAGTAGAATTCAAGGGAGGCATTGTGATGGGCTGCAGGACTTCAGCTGGACTCTTTTTTTTTGTCTTTTTCCTTTTTATTGGTACTGGGGATCGAACTCACGACTGCCTGCTTGCAAGTCAGGCACTTATGCCGCTGAGCTAAACCTCCAGCCCCCCAGCTGGACTCTTGTAGGACATTGCTGTGGGATCCAGGCCCTCAGCTCAATTTTCTAGGTCTTTAGTGTTGTGGACAGATTTCTTGCACTTTCTTTTGTTTAATTCTGGGTGATCATCATAAAATAATATTACAAATTGTGTCCTGAATGTAATTGTTCTCCTCACAATGCCTGACTGCAACATATGCTGTGAAGATCTTACTAGTACTATGATTTGCAATCTCACGGATGCAGGATGTCTTTCCATTTATAGGAATCTATTTTTTTCCTTGATGTTTATGTGCTTTGTTATCTGCATCAGCAATTGAGTCTGGGGACTGATTTCATACAATGTGAAAATAAGTAATTTACATTGTGATAATTAATGTTATGTAATGTCACAATTTATTGTACATTTTGAACATTTTTGTTTTATCGCCTTTCTGTACTTTCCTTATTGCATTCATTGTTTTTATTGTTTATATTCTATTCTGTTTTACGTGTGTCTTCTTTGGATTCTTGCAGCAATCTTTTGTGATCTCAATTCAGAGATCTTTCAGTTCTTATATGTTTATGCCTAGATACTACATTAGTTTTTTATGTAATTTTGAGTGGAATCATGTCAGTTAATTACTTTGAAAATTTATATTTTTTTGTGTATAAAAATGCATCTGATTTTTAATTTTCCTTTTAACTTTTCTAAACTGCTTTTTTAGATTTACAGTCCGGTGTGTGATCTGATATAAAATCATCTCTCTTGCCTAATTTTGCTAGTGAGGACTTCTAATACTGGGTCAGAACATCTCACCTTGTTCCTAATCTTAGAGAAAAGCTTTTAGTCTCTCCATTAAGTAGGATGTAAGCTGTGAACTTTGTATATATGACCTTTATTACTTTACTTCGATTCCTTGTTTGCTAAGTGCATTGTCATCTCAGTAGATCCAGAAAATGAAAAACTAAAATAACTAAAACATCAAAAC